TGGATGAATTTTGCGTCATGATTATCACATTTCCAAATTAGCTAAATTTTTATTGAATATTTGAACTTTGCACAAGGAACTTTAAAAAGTTAGAATATCGATTTGACAAATGTATCATTTACTCTCAGACAAATTAGAATCAATGGAAATTTAAACCCACGAGGGATTCAATGATAAACCGAGGGCGTAGCCCAAGCTGGTTTATCATTGAATCCCGAATGACGTCTACAAAAATCCCCCTCTAATATAAATGTACATGTTAACCTTTATGTCCAATGATAAGGAGTCTGTACAATTCCCCTGTACAAACTGGCTTTCAGCATTCTATACTCTAACCTTTCTCAGATTATAAACCGATACCATCTCTCTTGGCGTAAATTGAAGCAAACAGTATTTAAGGTTTATTTAATTCTCTCGTATATCTGATCTGGTTTAATCTACTCGATCTTATAAAATAAACAAATGAATATTGTTCGGCTGTATTGAAACTAGAGTATTTACATTGTTAATGTCTCCTCTAGGAAGAAAGACGACCTACAGAAAATGTTAGAATTCTGATTTCATCCAAAGCCATGGTTATAAATATTTCATAAATAAACATTAAATTAAAATATAAAAGTTTGGGTGGTGAGTGTAGTTATAGGCTACAACCCATAGCACATGGTAACAATATTTATGTCAATATATCAACAATAATTAACAGTACATTTACACTCCCAGCTTACAACAGAACAATTCCAGAAAATATAGAACTTGAAATATTTCTAGAGATGAGTAATTGATTAGACAGTTATTTGATTACAGCCTTCAACACTTTCCGCTGTACAGAAGGATAATGCGGGAACAGATGAACTAGTTAGGACGGAATATGTACAGAGTACACTGTACAACATTTACTATTAAGAGAGATGTACAAAACTTAATGAAGGGAGGTGTGTGTACTAAGTACTGTGTACTAGATTAAAGGCCTAGTTTTATCATACAGAGGATGGTTAGGGTTAGCTCCGGTCCGGAGATACTAGGAACTAGAACTAGAACTGGTCGATATTCAATATAGAAATAGAACTGTTCTACATCCAATGTAATATCTCTAGGTTAGAACTAAAACTGTTCTTTATCCGGTTTGAAGTGAAACTTGATACGTCCCATATCCAGGTTTGATCTAAAACTGTTTTATCTCCAGGTTAAACTCGAGGTGTTTTATCTCAAGGGTTTAACAAGAACTGCTCCACGGTATGATTAGAACTCTTCGTCCCATCCTGTGTTATCATCTGGAGGAGGACCTTCAGGATCCATTGGATACTCGTCAAAGTTTGATGTATCCAGGCTGGATCCTATGCTAGGCATAATAGGAGGCTGAAGAGTTCTCTGCCTTAATCCTGCCATATAAGAGGTTTAGAATATCAATTATACGATTATTATAAACGAGAATTTTAATCAAAAAAGATCTATAAATCTGTAGAACAAAAATTTCTAAAGATAAATATAAATTATTTTTGAAAAATTATAATATAGATAATGGCACTAAGTAATATAGATAATGGCACTAGAGATAATAGAGATAATGGCACTAGAGATAATATAGATAGTAGCACTAGACATAATATAGATCTTACCTGCACAGCTTCTTGATAAGCTCCTTCGCCCTAGCGCTGATGTTCCTGGGGAACTCTATCGCGTCAATCCCCTTGAGGATGATATTGTAGGTCTTCATAGGATCCGTTCCAGTGAAGGGAGGTGTTCCTGTGAGGAGTTCAAACATGAGAACTCCCAGGGACCAGTAATCTGCTGAGATATCGTGTCCCTTGTTCAAGATTACCTCAGGAGCAACATACTCAGGAGTTCCACAGAACGTCCAGGTCTTACGACCAACCTGGAGAAAACAGATATATTCAGAAACTGTAAAATTCAAAATAATTAAAATTATTATCTATCAATTTAGCAGAATCTCATATCGTTTTCCAGGCGCTTTAGAACTGTAAAACAAGAGAAGTAGTTCTACCAAGTTTACGTAGTTAAACTATTTCTTACTGTTTATTAAATTTGGTCCCAGAAAATTAAGTAAATTCGAACATTTCTTAAATGAGTAGGCTGCCTCCTATACAAAGTCTATTAATTGATATATCTAGATTAATAACTAACTCTACCTGGAGTTTCTTAGCGAACCCGAAATCTACAAGTTTAACATATCCTTCGGCATCTAGGAGAAGGTTCTCAGGTTTCAAGTCTCTGTAGATGATGCCTCGACTATGAAGGTAGTCGAATGCCTCTACGACACATGAAGTGTAGAATCTTGTTGTAGGATCGTCAAAGTTTCCTCGATCCCTGATTAAAAAACGGGTTTATAAAACATATGTTATTATTAATAACTAATCCTTGAATTATTCATCTATGTAATGTATTAATTTATAAATATAAGTCTGCTGGAAATATTCTCAATATAAGGAACAAGTGTTTTCGTATACAATACACAGCATAACGGAATATGTATTAAAGATTATTAAAATTTAATTTATATTTGAATGTTTAAGTAAAACCACCTGTAAAAAAAGTTATATTTTTTATAAAAAATGCATATATTTTACTTGACTCAAAACCAAGACTTTAATCTTTTAAATCAACAGACATGTACGTTTAATAACTATTCAGCACTCAATTTTAGCTTTAGCCTTTTAAAGGTAATTGGCAAAATTCTCAAGGATTTTTGCGAAAGAGTTTGCAATCCGTACACCACTTTTAACATAGTTTTATAAAAAAAAAGATTGAACCCTAGGTATACCTGAGAATAGTCCATAGTTCTCCTCCTAGACAGGACTCCTTGAACCCTAGGTATACCTGAGAATAGTCCATAGTTCTCCTCCTAGACAGGACTCCTTGAACCCTAGGTATATACCTGAGAATAGTTCATAGTTCTCCTTCTAGACAGGACTCCTTGAACCCTAGATATACCTGAGAATAGTCCATAGTTCTCCTCCTAGATAGGACTACTTGAGCCCTAGATATACCTGAGAACAGTCCATAGTTCTCCTCCTAGACAGGACTCCTTGAACCCTAGATATATACCTGAGAATAGTCCATAGTTCTCCTCCTAGACAAGACTCCATGAGCATATACAGATACTTCTTATCCTTGAAGGTCTTGAACAGCTTGACAATGAAGTGGGAGTCAGACTCCTCCATGATCTCCTGCAAAAAGAAAAGAATTAAAATAATAAAAAGTTATTTAAAGATTTAAAATGTTCATACGTTTAATGGAATTAAATTGAATTGCCGTGATATTTTTATTTATTAACTAGTTTTGAAACACAGGTTTACCAGAATATCAAACAGAGATTACTACTTTATATATACGATACAGATTCATAATTGCAGACAAAAATACATATGTAATATGCATACAGTTCTTGTTTATGGTTTACCTAATTATTTTACGTAAAAACGTTGAGGGTTAAAATAATTGGAGCTTGAAATAATTTTAAATCCATGTTTATTGTTTACAATATAATCGAAAAGCAGTATTTTTGTGTTTTATTTTATGAGAGCTTATGTAGCATAGCTTGATTCCTGGACTAGACTTCTATAGAATCTAAAACATTATCAGAATATTTATTTATTTGAATAGTTGATAGTTGGGGATTTTGAAAAGGTATTTAAGGAAGTTTAAGAATTAATGTTTATATTTCTAGTTGGATAAATATATAAACAAGACACCTCCCCGGTCCTCCTGTATCAGAATATTAGTCAATTATAAAAATAATGTTAAAAGCTTGTCTGGAAAATATATATTTTTGTTAAAATAATGCTGATCAAGCTGATATTTGATTTAAACAATTAGATAGATAGATAGATAGGTTAATAACCCCCTCGGTTAAATCTATTTGATGAGCATGGTGTTTATCGATATACGACCCTACTCCGACCTTACTCCGATTACAATTTTAGAAAATTTTCAAATGCATTGATAAACGAGGCTTGAACCTGCAAAACTAGATCTTAATTTAATATTTTATCGGTCATCTTGTAGATATCGTAGATATGATGTTAAAGTTGAAGAGTAAATATCAAATTACACTTTAACCTAAACCGAGCTAAATAGGTCGGAACTTTTATACTCTGTCATTTCTTAGCAATCAAAGTATCTTGAGTTTAAGTATATTTTATCTAAAACGGATAATAAACCTAAAGTTTTCTATATTTCTATTTACCTGTCCAGCTACAACACTATTTATGGATTTTTTTTTACTTTTCAGCAATAACTATAAGATACGACACGCCCCGGAGAATAACCTCATTTTACAATAAAATTAATCCTATCAATAAAGTAGAATTTTTTGTAAAAAAGGTGTATATTCTTCTATCAACAACTCTTTACCTCACTGTATATGGGTAGATAATCAAGTTAGACCGTTATTGCTTAGTTTCCATTAGATTTAGATTTTTCGTATTTTCTAGTTTATGCAATTGTACATTAAATAATTAGTTTAGCGTGATCTATGTTACCTTCTCACTCATGATATGCTGCTGCTGCCTGGTTTCAACAATCTGATTTTTCTTCATCTGTTTGAGAGCAAAGCTTCTCTTCTTCTCATCTCCAGCAACCATCACCAACTCAACCCTGATATATTATGGTTTAAATACTATCAATAAGAAGATGAGGAAACCATCACCAACTCAACCCTGATATATTATGGTTTAAATACTATCAATAAGAAGATGAAGAAACCATCACCAACTCAACCCTGATATATCATGGTTTAATACTATTAATAAGAAGATGAGGAAACCAAGAAATTCCGTATTTCTTGTGATATATCTCATTCCTGTACTGTTAAATGTTTTATTCTTTAACCAGAAAAAAATAACGAAAAGTGAGTGACCAGCAATATATGGTAGTGTTATGTCTCAATGAATCCTAAAAAGTTTCTCCCCAATACTACATTCTCAGTTCAACTACCATACTTTGCCGGTCACTCCCTTTAAGTATTAATAAAGCTCTTCGCTCATATTCAAATGTCAGCTATAGCTGACTAAACGGCTGAACCAAATTGGCTGAAATTTTGTTAGGGAAACCATGGGTACCCCGGGGGTAAGCTAAAAAAAATTAGATTTTTTTCAAAATTTTAATTTATTTTTTTTTAATTTGATTTTTTATTCCACTGGCAACGCCGGTCACTTTATTAGCTAGTTAAGTAATAAAATTACACTTAAAAGGATTGTCACAAGTTTGTAAGAAAATTTGATTGAGACATCTTCGTTTCCTTATTTGAAAATAGAATAATCGCATCTTTTTACAAAAGTTGGTTTGCAAAATAACATAGAATACGACTAATTAGATGGTCAGTATTGGACCCAACGTTTTTTATATAAAAATTGACAAAAGCATGGTCCCTACTTTTAATAATTCAACCTGTAATAGTTTTTGACAGAGCAAGAAAATATTTGTATAATTGAGGGATTATGCATTGACAATTCCCTCAAGTGTCTGTGTGAGAGGAGGGGGTCGGGATTTTAAACATCAGCTGTAATTTAGTTAATTGCTTATAAAACGATGTTCTATAAATGAAAATAAATGACAAAAATGTGAAAGATAGAAACATATTAGAGATTGAAGTTTGCAGCAACATATTGAAATATGTTAAAAATACTATAAAGAAAAATTTATTTCTTTATTTTATAACCAATTTTGATTAGAATACTATAAAACTTAATATTTATGATTTTTTCTAATTACCAGAGCCTGCGATTTAAAAACTTCGGCTCGAGCCGTAATTCCTTAAACCCGACTTTTAGACCCAATCTTAGACTCAACTCTGACGACAGCTTGGGTCACGTGATTGACAGCTGCAAGATCTTCGGCTCGACTTAAGGAGTTAGGCTCAATGAAAATAAAACCGACCATGGTTGGTTTTAGAGGAGAATAAGGCTCAATGTTGCGTCTTGTTTTCATAAAAACTGGGAATGCGCCAATTCCTACCATGAAAATCCGCCAAATAGAATATTAAACCGGTTTTTTAAATTCAACTCTGTGGAAAATAAGATGCAACTTGAATCCGAAAGCTCAAGTCGTAAATAAGGTCCAACGACAGCTTAGACCTGAGCCGTATTTTCCCAAGTTTTTTTAAATCGCGGGCTCAGAGTTCACAACTGTACTTATTATCGTATTTAGTTGCAAAACTGCTTAGCAAATAATTTAACAGATAATAAAATTAATAAGCAAAAAACACTTGTGAACAAAATTATATTCCTGTTAAAACACCGTTTGAAATATAAGATTGAAACATTTAATTAATTTTTCAAGTTATTTGTTTTTTTTCTCAATAGTTTTTTAAAATTAAAGACCTTTTTTAAAGGAAGTTCATATATATATAAGTATGTTTATAATGACCAACCTGCCAAATCCCCCTACCCCCAGAGTAGCGACTATTCTGAGATCTGATAGTTTCAAATTCTTAAATTCCTCTTGAATTCTAAACAATTTAAATAAAGACAATAGACGCGTTAATATACTCAGATAGATATTCAGCTAGACATAAACATAGTTAATATACTTAGATAGATATTCAGATAGATATTCAGCTGGACATAAACATAGTTAATATACTTAGATAGATATTCAGAGAGATATTCAGCTAGACATAAACATAGTTAATTTACTCAGATAGATATTCGGATAGATATTCAGTTAGACATAAACATAGTTAATTTACTCAGATAGATATTCGGATAGATATTCAGTTAGACATAAACATAGTTGATTTACTCAGATAGATATTCGGATAGATAATCAGCTAGACATAAACATAGTTAATTTACTCAGATAGATATTCAGCTAGACATAAACATAGTTAATTTACTCAGATAGATATTCAGATAGATATTCAGCTAGACATAAACATAGTTAATTTACTCAGATAGATATTCGGATAGATATTCAGCTAGACATAAACATAGTTAATTTACTCAGATAGATATTCAGATAGACATAAACATACTTAATTTACTCAGATAGATGTTAAGTTAGATATTCAGTTAGACATGTAGATAAACATAAACATATTTAGTATATTAAGATATTGACATGTTTACAGATTTTATTCAATAATCTGCAGATTGCAGCATTAAAAACCAATAAACTTGTTTTTTATATAATAAAAATGACTTACATGTTTTTCCTAATGGAGAGGTCGACATACTTCTTCTTTATCTCCTCCAGGTTGGAGATCAGATGAGCAAAGGACTCCCTGAAATTTTATAATTCTAAGTTAAAACGATTTTTTTGCGAATTAATTTTAATAAATTTTGCGGATTTTAAAATTAAGTGATTGACAACTTAAAAAAAATTATTTTATATCTTCAAACTTATAATAAATATTAATTATTTCCTTATATTTTATTAAAATCTTCAACATAAAATTTATGCTTATTTACCTATCTATAACCAGGCATTCTACCCCTGCGGCATCATCTGCAACAATATTCGCAGTTCTAACCTCCTCTCCGCTCAACGCCTTTTCTCCGAAGAAATCTCCTTTATGAAGATTTCTAATAAATTTCTCATCCTCGGATCCTCCCTCCTTCTTCGTCACTTTTACCTTCATAACAATATTCAGGTCAAATCACACAATAATATTTAGGAATTTCAACCCACATTTTTAAAAAGTATACTTATTATATTTTGAGAAAATTAGAAAATTATTCTTAAAAATCGTAAAAGAATTAATCCCTATATCTTTGCAACCCATTTTGTAGACCTTTGATATTTCAAACTATGAATTCTGATAGAAAATTATAGTTTGTGGCAAAGACTCAATTCCTTTTTTGTTTAGTTGGTCGTTCTTGAGAATATTTTAGATTAAAACTGAATTTCCAGGTTTATTCTCTTGACAATAAAGCCAGAGCTAACTATGAGATTAAAGGCAGCTGAGGTATTGCATATAAAGCATTTCTCAAGTTTCAATAACTCGGCTGAAAATATTTTGTATATCACAAAAAAACGGTTTAAAACTGAACAGTGCAGTGTTACAAAATATTTTTAGCTTTTCCAACAATATTTTTTCTTTAAAGGAAATGTACGCGTAATTTCATGTTTTTTTTCCCTTAAACTGTTCATTTTCATTTGCGGGTTCTCTGCGAAAATATCTGGCGCATTTCTTGTAATAGAAACAATAGACAAATTATCTAAATTAACCACTTATATTTTATCTTCCACATTTTTGATCTGATTAAGGTTTCTAGACCAGGTACAGTTGTAGATCGGGCAGTGCCATCTTATCATTAAGGATCACTTGAAATGTCGCTTACAGTCCCTTTAAAGTAATTGATCTTTCCTTGTAAAACTGAACTTGATATCCGGAACCCAATTTTTTCAAATTAAAAAAATTAAATAAAATTGATTGAAAAATTGTTTATTACCCTGCCCTTGCTGATGATGAAGAATGTATCTCCCATGGCTCCCTGCCTGATGATGTACTCCCCCTCCTTGTACGTCGTCTCCTCCATCACGTCCGCGATTTTGATCAAGGTCTCCTCCGGCAGGTTGACGAAGGTTGGGACGGATTTGAGGAAGGCGGTGTACTCCGTCTGCTTGACCATAGCTGTTCTCATCATGATAGTTTGGAAACATTGACGTTCTATTGCCCATAGTTTACAGTCGGTAGCAGCTTAACAAATAACAATTAAACCAATGGGACTCATGTGACTTAAACATTTTGTCTTTAACACAAAGAATAGTTAGTTTTTTATGTGGAATTACCGATACGACTTAGAAATCTCGTCCAAGAGTTAGAAAAGCAAACTTGTTTGGTTGCATATAAGAATTTTAAAACTTTTTTCTTTCTTATCAATAGCTTTTTTAAAAATGTGTCCAAATATGCCACAAACCCTGGTTTATTTTAATGAAAAAATTCTATATTGGAATTTCTCGATGCATAAAAACATGTGAAACTCCCATGAGTGTGCTACTTGATCTCATTTTCAAATATATAACACTATTATCTTAATATCAACTTTCATCTTAAAAGTAGATATTTATGTTGTGGAGAAGAAAAGTAGACTTTAACCTTGAAAGATTTTGAACTTTAAATGCTACGGTTGACGAATCCGAAGTGTAATTTTTTATACACTGATCTCACTTACCAAGGTTGATCCAATAGATATTTGAATAGATCAAACCAAAAGTCTGTTAAATGAAAGGTTTTCGAGTTTTTCCAGAACAGTCGCACATGATACAAGAATCTTTCCGCAGATAATAATTGATATAGGATCAACCTGGAGCACCGGAGCTGATAATATATCAAGGAGCAACCTGGAGCACCGGAGCTGATAATATACCAAGGAGCAACCTGGAGTACAGGAGCTGATAATATATCAAGGAGCAACCTGGAGCACCGGAGCTGATAATATACCAAGGAGCAACCTGGAGCACCGGAGCTGATAATATACCAAGGAGCAACCTGGAGCACAGGAGCTGATAATATATCAAGGAGCAACCTGGAGCACCGGAGCTGATGATATACCAAGGAGCAACCTGGAGCACCGGAGCTGATAATATACCAAGGAGCAACCTGGAGCACCGGAGCTGATAATATACCAAGGATCAACCTGGAGCACCGGAGCTGATAATATACCAAGGATCAACCTAGAGCACCGGAGCTGATAATATATCAAGGATCAACCTGGAGCACCGGAGCTGATAATATACCAAGGAGCAACCTGGAGCACCGGAGCTGATAATATACCAAGGATCAACCTAGAGCACCGGAACTGATAATATATCAAGGATCAACCTGGAGCACAGGAGCTGATAATATACCAAGGAGCAACCTGGAGCACCGGAGCTGATAATATGTCAAGGAGAAACAGTTGGAGGATCGGAGATGATCACGCTTTAATTACCTTTAATAGTGGCAGTCCTCTGGCAGTTGTAAAGGATTGCAAGTTCTCCAAATAGTTTCCCAGCCGACATTACGGACAGGAACTTCTCCTCCCTCGACACCTCAACCTTACCCTCCTCCATCACGTAGACGATACTACCGATATCTCCTTCCTTGATGATCAGGGAACCCTTGGCGTACTCCATCGGGTACATCACGTCAACAATCTCCTACAACAAAACATGGATCAAACCAGAATAAAAATCTTGAATGGGGAAATATTACGTAAATAACATCCCCCCCTCTCCCCCTGATATTGAAAGATAAACGTGTTAGTAAAATATTTAGTAAACTATAGTTTGCCTAAGCTGATATTCTAAAACTTGATCAAATGGATTGATTAATAAGCGCTAGACCATATATGCTAAATCACTGCAGTTGGATAGAGTCCAAGACTGAAAATGCATGAACCTTGTCCCCCCCCCTCCACTCCTTCCCCTTCTAAGGATTCGATAAACATCACAATCAGTAACTTTAATATTTTTTCATTTTTAAACTTGAAATTAATCCAAGTTTAAGTTTATAATTTCAAACCTTGATTTGCGAGGTCTCTAGGTTCTTCATGAAGTCATTGTCCATAATTGCTCCTCGGATAAGATCCTGGGAGGCCTTGGACTTTTTATACTCCGGGAAGGTTTTATTAGTCAGGTCCTAGGATCAAATATTTTCACATTTTGATGTTTAAACAATATTTGCGGTAAAGAAAACTTTCTTCATCGATAATATTTATCTAAATTTAGGTTTGTCAAGTCTTAAATTGAATTCTAACACCAAAGAAAATTGCTTTGGATTGACTAAGTTTCAAATAATAATAATCATTTAAGTTGGAAAATTGTTTATTATTGATCTGATGAAAATAAGTTAATTTCCTGAATAGTTTTGAGGGATTGTGGTTCAGCTGAGATACCTAAACCTCGAGCAGTCTTCCTGTTCTTCTTTACAGGGGTAGAGGCCTAGAATTAGGGATATATAGGTTCAGAATAGGGTGATATGTAATAATATCGTGTAATTGTAATAAATATCGTGTAATTGTAATAAATAACGTGTAACACAATATTGATCAACATGAGCTACGTAATATGATTAAAACATGCATTGTGATTAGATTAAATACGTTTATATGTATCCATGTTACTCTTCTAAATACGTACATTCAACTTAAACTACACTATATACATGTGTGGAGATAGCCTAACTGCATTATATCTATCCTCGCATATCATAGAATTATGTACATTAAATTTAAAATACACTGTATATGTATCGAAATAGAACTTTTAATTATGTTGATTCATGTTAACTGTAACATAAGATATCTAAAATAAATTAGTTGGTTGATACTCTGCTTTGATTATGGTATTAGAAGAAATTTAGTCCTCGTTTAAACATATGAGCTGAGATTGTGTCCAGTGGTTTTGCGTTGATCGACCATGGACTTGTTTGATAGCTATGCTTATGTCCCTGTGTGACATTCAGAGCCGATGAGATTGTGCTCATTGGTTTGGCATTGATCGATTAAGAGCATGTTTGATAGCTACGCTTGTGTCCTGTGTGACATTCAGAACTGATAAGATTGTGTACATTGGTTTGACATTGATCGCTGAAGAGTTTGTATCCTGGTTGACATTTATAGCTGATTGGTTGTACCTGGATTGATACAGTTCTGGACGAAGTTTTAAGAGTACAGCATTTACTACAGATATAGGTTCAGAATAGGGAGATAAAGGTACAGAATAGGGAGGTAAAGGTTCAAAATAGGGAGTTAAAGGTTCAGAATAGAGAGATAAAGGTTCAGAATAGGGAGATATAGGTTCGGAATAGGGAGGTAAAGGTTCAGAATAGGGAGATAAAGGTTCAGAATAGGGAGATAAAGGTTCGGAATAGGTAGATATAGGTCGGTAAAATTAAGCTAGAATACACTACACAAGATACTAGCTAGACAGAAAGTACGAAAATAAGACATGGAACTATGAAAGCTAGGAATTTAAATGATTGAACGAACAGATATCTCCTTGATGTTTCTATACAATTTTTGTCTGTCTGTCTGTCTGTCTGCTGGGATGTGACCGACTTTTAACATATTTTACCAACACTTTGCAGAATCCACATAAAAAAGTTCTCACACAAAATTCTGTAGAGTTGCTTTAACTGAATAATTTAACGTGGGACAATTTGTACAAGAAAGTGTAAAGCATTAATTAATAATATTTTTTTCTTAAAAACAGAATGATGAATAAAATATTAAAAATTAACTTTTAAATGGTTCGTTATTATTATTTCTTTCATTATTTTATATTTTTTATCTTATTGTGACTGGTTTATTATTGCGTTACAGTACTATACGTTTTTTATCGAGTAAAGATATTTCCTTGACACATTGAATATACAATTTTTTAAAATTTAAATGATTTAATTTGATTTTGTTGAGTCGGCTTCAGTAGATATGTCTTAAGTAAACATGACTGAGATGCTAATACGATACAAGGATAAACATAAACATATAAGAAACATATCTAAGAGAGAGTTATAAAGAAAATGTATCTTGGAGTGAGATATAAAATTAAAACATATCTAGGAGAGAGAGAGAGAGTTAGAAAGAGAAAAACTTCTAGGAGAGAGAGAGAGTTAGACAAAGAATCCTTTCTAGGAAAGAGAAAGTTAGAATTAGAAACATATCTAGGAGAGATATAGAAAGAGAAACATATCTTGGAGAGGATAGTAGAGAGAGGAACATATGTAGGAGAGAGATTAAGAAAGAGAAACATATATATAGGAGAGAGAGAATTAGATCAAGATAAATATCTAAGAGAGAAAGAAAGAAAGAGAAACATATCTAGGAGAGAGTTAGAAAGAGAAACATATCTAGTAGAGAGATAGAAAGAGAAACATATCTAGGATAGAGAGTTAGAAAGAGAAACATATCTAGGAGAGAGAGTTAGAAAGAGAAACATATCTAGGAGAGAGTTAGAAAGAGCATATCTAAGGTGAGAAAAGTAGAGAGTAAAAGAGAGAAACTAATCCTAACCTGAGCAGTAGCGTCCTGTATGCTGAAGATTGACTGGTATTTGTCAAGCTGAGATCTGAGAGACATATTCTCAACCTGGACACGTATATTTAATTATTAAGTTCGTGCTGTAATCTAACTAGACAAGAATACAGTAGATGTACATTGTTTCCTCACGTCTCTACTTCAACAAATTTTGTTAAATGAAAATTTAAAATTTCTTAGAGTGAATGTTCATTGAAATCTTAATCATGCAAAGTGAGAGAAAATACAACATACGATTGTTTTAGGTTAGTTATTCCCTTATATTTTCTGTTAGGATAAAAATATTACAAAGTTTAATAAAAGCAAAATTTTACAGAAAACAGTGTAGAATCCTAGTTTTCTATCCTCGTCCTGTATCCTAGGTTTGAATCTTAGTTTTCTATCCTCGTCCTGTATCCTAGTTTTGCATCTTAGTTTTCTATCCTCGTCCTGTATCCTAGGTTTGCATCTTAGTTTTCTATCCTCGTCCTGTATCCTAGTTTTGCATCCCAAATGTTTATTTTCGTCCTGTACTCATCATAGCCGACTGTATCTATATTATAAGTAATAGTTTTTTTGTCCTAAATCCTAGTTGCATATATTCGTCCTGTATCCTAGTCATGCATCCAAGTTGTTTATATATATGTTCTGGGAACTAGTCCAACATCGTATTTTTTTATTTCGTCTGTTATCCATGTCCAATATCTTAAAGCTGTATTTTTAAATTATCAATTAACAAGTAAAACCCCCATCCTACTACTTATACACCACTCTAGAACTATTCAATCTTAACTTTAAAGATTGTGAATTCCAAGGTTTTGTATTTATATAAACTTGATGATAGCTCACCTCCAGCTCCCTAATCCTTGCATCCTTCTTGGCAAGAAGAGATTGCATTTCAACTATATTAGTCCCCATCCTTCCCTGCTCTTTAGATCAGCGTCTTCACAACCTCTAGTGTATCTGAACATAAAAAAAACTATGGGAGAAACAAATATAAGAAAACTACAGGAGGAAACTATTCAGGGTTACCAACAAAAGATGAGACTTCAGAGACGATTGTATGGAATTTGTTAAGTCCGTTTTCTAACATTCATGTTTTATTGTAGGCTAAAACTGGCATATTTTTGTGCTTAAAGGGAGGGTAAAGGAAAAATTAAAGGGGGTATAGGCTGAAATTGAGTGATACCCATGAGAGTTCTATCTGATGTTCCTGTCTCGAAAAATTGCTATAAAATTGTGTCAAATTTATACGAAAATCTATATAAATTAAATTTTGTACAAAAACAGTAGGTTTAAACGGATCATATTTAGCAAATACACAACCAATCTGAAAACAACGATATCCAAGAGGAGCCTAAGAAACTCCGTCTGTGTCACGTGACCAGTTTACTGCACTGCCATTGGTGGTAGTTCTGGGCACAGGATACGGATGTATAAATAATATTATCAATTTTATCTATTAAAAATGATAAATTATTAAATTCAAATAATAATAGAAGCAACCCTAAGTTTATTAGGCTCCTCTGGGATATCGTCGTTTTCAGATTGGTTGTGTTTTCGCTGAAAATGATCCGTTTAAACCTACTATTTTTATACAACATTTTTTATATAGATTTTCGTATAAATTTGACACAATTTTATATCAATTTCTCGAGACAGGAACATCAGATAGAACTCTACTGAGTCTCGATCAACTTCTAATATGGTTATAATTCAGCCTATACCCCTTTTTATTATTCTTTTACAGTCCCTTTAATCATTTAATAAACCATCAAAATACTCAACTAAATGCAGAAAACAAAAATCATCATATTTTTTAAGTTTCAGGTCGTCTTCATTGACTCATCCTATGTGGGTAACCCTGTAGAATATAAAAAGAAATTATGGGCTGTCATAGAATTAAAAATGTATGCATAGCAAGATAATTCAACTTGTTGCTGTGCAATATTGAACAATTAATTTGTTATCTTCTTCTTATTATCATTACTAAACAATCCATTAAAAAACATTCATGAATTTCTTATTAATATATTTTAGTAATTCATCAAAATAATTTTGTATTTTTATGTTAAAAACATTCTAAACATACTTTTAATGTTCTTTGTTGAAAGTAAGACTCATAAAACTGTTGAAATGACTATTTGACTAAATGTTATTAATTAAAGGTTAAACTATTTACATTATAACAAACTCAACTGCTCAAAATATGTATTTAATGTCGTCTTCCAATTCCACAGTTTTACGGGTTTCATTGGTCTTTTTGGAAGATATATATAGTTTTTGGATTTTTCCATTTTTCTAGATTTGTTGATTTTATTTCTTACTTTCATCATTGACAGATAAACGCAGTAAACTAGGCTGGATTTATATTCTGTATGCACACCTGACGCTTTTATTGACAGATCTTTTCAGATTTGACGCTTTAATCCTTAATACAATAGAGGAGAGAATTGACGCATTTATTAAGAAAATAGACAGACACGGCAGAAAATCTGGAAGAAATGAATTGAATTGAATGATTCTAGAAACTATCTGAATTGTTCAGATCTATAAAAACTAGATAATTCTAGAAACTATATGAAAAGCTGGAAAAGTCTAGAACTATGTCTCCTTAAAAAGAGCTGGATAATTATTAAAACTAGATAAAAGCTAGTATATTAGTTGAAATATCTAAACGGTTGGTATTTCTAAAAGCTAAATAGCTAAAAGATGGAATATTCTAGAAACTACATGCAATAAAAGCTAGATGATTCTAGAAAGTTCTGGAACCTATCTAGAACTAGAAAACTTACTTCCTTAGCAGTTAAAAATCTGATCAAACCACAAAAGAGATTAAATTATCTTTGATTTAATACACATTGGTATGTTTACTTCAAGCTATCATCTGAGATCTCATATCTAGGAGAGAGAGAGAGAGTTAGAAAGAGTGATCAACCTTTGTAATAATATTCACCTTGAATAGGGTTACCGCTGCCCCTCTCACCCTACATATACTTGTCATTATACGTGAACATTATACAAACCAGCCAGAAATCAATCAATCAATTTATTGTCCAGAAATTCAGAATTTTCGGAGATTTCTGTTTCAAAAAATCTAATCCTCAAATTATATTTTAAATGTTTATCACGTGACATCCTCTCGGGTGTGAAGATGTGACTTTCGGTTGAAAACTTATGAAACGGGTGGAACGAATGAAATTATAATTTGCATTGGATCAAATCAGATCTGGAAGAAATCACAATTTTGTGTAAAATATTAATAAATTAGTCGGTAGTCCCGATTCCGTACTCTTGTAAAATCAAGAATTAAGAATCACCCGGTAGAAAAAAAAATCAAGAATTATGGAACAACCTGTAGGAAAAATCAAGTAATACGAAAATATTCTGTAGGAAAAATCAAGAATTACGGGACAACCTCGAATGAAAAATCAAGAATTACGGGACAACCCCGTATGAAAAATCAAGGATTACTGAACACCCTGTTTGAAAAATCAAGAATTACGGGACACCCTGTACGGAAAAATCAAGGATTACGGAACACCCTGTTTGAAAAATCAAGAATTACGGGACGCCCTGTACGGAAAAATCAAGGATTACGGAACACCCTGTTTGAAAAATCAAGAATTACGGGACACCCTGTACGGAAAAATCAAGGATTACGGAACACCCTGTTTGAAAAATCAAGAATTACGGGACACCCTGTACGGAAAAAT